CTAAGGCATTTGACTGCTAACCAGAGGGCTGGCAGTTCAAATCCACCAGCCACTCCTTGGAAGGAAGACTGGGCAATCTACTTCCGTAGAGATACTGCCTCAGAAACCTATAATTCTTGTGATACTTGTTATGTTTAACAAGTATTGATTGCATGTCCTCTTTGGTCCAGGCACTAAACTAGGTATTTGGGATATGTCAGTCCCACCAGTTTGCCCATATGAAATTTAACATTCTTTTAAACATATACATATATATAATATATACATACTTGTGCCTCTCTTTGGCTTACATCGAACTTAAGAGTTCTGGGTGCTCACACTTGCTAACAGTGTGAGAGACACAAGTTATTTAACCTCTGAAAGCCTCAGTAATATCATATGTTTAATGGAAAAAAAGAGAGTTATATGATACTTGTAAGTACGGTAGCTGTGGATTTTAGTCCCAGTCTTCAGAAATGGACTCTGAATAATATAAGCAGAAAAGAATATCTGTTAGAATCAATGGAAACACCAAAGAAGCTGATCTAGAGACTATTACCCACATATCTGTCTAATGCCAAATTGTGCCACCGAACTAATCCAAACTGATGACTTCAGAAAAATTTATCCAATAAAGACAAGATAATTCAAGTTAGCAATATGCAGGCAGGCTTATATTGTAATCATAACCATATTCTGGTTAGCAGTCAAATGCCTTAGGCACTACACCACTAGAGCTCCCATCTGATATGCAGGGATCTTTTATGGATGGCTATCTCCTCCACTTGTGCAACAGATCTTAAGGATCTTGCTCCTGAAATGATCCCTTCTCTCTCCTACATCATCGATTTTCCCTCTTCATTCAAACACCACCATCAGCCTACAAACAAGCTTTTATATCTCTCATGATAACAAAGAAAACTTCTCTCTACTCTGCAAACCCTACAAATTTTCAAAGAAAAAATTCTTTGACCCAGTTTTCTTTGCTGTTTATTTCCACTTTTTCTTCTATTTTTCCTTGAGCCCCCTTCAGTTGACTTTTTTTTTTTTAACTGTCAATATATTGAAATCCCTAGTGGAAAGTCACAGGAGCTCTGGTAGCATAGTGACTAAGGCACTTGACTGCTAACCAGAAGGCTGATGGTTCAAACCCACCAGCCACTCCTTGGAAGGAAGGTTGGGCAATCTACTTCCACAGTGATACCGCCTTGGAAACCCAAGGAGGGGTTGCTATCAGTTGGGTCCAACTTGACAGCAAATAACAACAACAACAAAAGTGAAAAGTCAGAAATAGCCTCCATGTTGCCACACTAAATGGCCAAATTTGGATCACTCAATAGCATTTGAAACAGTTGTTCATGCTTTCCTTCTTGAAAGACTTTCTTCATTAAACTTCCTGGACAGTACACTCTACTTAGCTCCAAACTCTCTGGTTCTTTGTTTTCAGACTCTCTGAATCTTCTCATCATCTTTATAAAGGCTGGGCCCCTGGGCAGGTAGGTGGGCACACAGTGGCTAGGGCCTTCTATTGTTGTTATGTGCCGTCGAGTCGGACCTGACTCATAGCAACCCCTCCTCCTAATAGTTAATACTACTATTATTCAAATCTATGCACAAACCACCAAAGCCAAAGATGAGGAAATTGATGATTTCTACCAATTTCTGCAGTCTGAAATTGACTGAACATGCAAACAAGATGTGTTGACGACCATCGGTGACTGGAATGCAAAAGTTGGAAACAGAAGAGTCATTGGCAATTGGAAAATATGGCTTTGGTGATAGAAATAATGCTGGAGGTGACAGAATTTTGCAAGACCAATGAATTATTCACTGCAAATACTTTTTTTCAACAACATAAATAAATAATGGCCATACACATGGACTTCACCTGATGGAACAACAGGAATCAGATTGACTACATCTGTGGCAAGTGGAGATGGAAAAGTTCAATATCTTCAGCCAAAACAAAGCCAGGAGCTGATTATGGTACAGACCATCAACTGCTAATATGTAAGTTCAACTTGAAGTTGAAGACAATTAAAACAAGTCCACAAGAGCAAAAATATGACCTTGATAACATCCCTCTTGAATTTAGAGACCATCTAAAGAATAGATTTGATGCATTGAACACCAGTGACAAAACCAGAGGAATTGTGGGATGACATCAAGAACATCATCCATGAAGAAAGCAAGAGGTCATTAAAAAGACAAGAAAGGAAGAACAGACCAACATGGATGTCATAAGAGACTCTAAAACTTGCCCTTGAGTGGAGAACAGCTAAAGCAAATGGAAGATATGACAAGATAAAAGAGTTGAACAGAAGATTTCAAAGAGCAGCTCAAGAAGACAGAGCCAACTATTATAATTAAATGTGCAAAGACCTGGAGTTAGAAAACCAAAAGGGAAGACCATGCTCTGCATTTCTCAAGCTGAAAGAACTGAAGAAAAAATTTCAGCCTTGAGTTGCAATATTCAAAGATTCAATGGGCAAAATTTTGAATGATGCAGGAAACATCAAAAGAAAATGGAAGGAATACACAGAGTAACTGTACCAAAAAGAATTGGTCGATATTCATTCATTTCATGCGGTAGCATATGATAAAAAACCAATGGTATTGAGGGAAGACGTCAAGGCTGCACTGAAAGAACTGGTGAAGAATAAGGGTCCAGGAATTGATGGAATACCCATTAAGATGTTTCAATAAACAGATGCCGCACAGGAGGCACTCACTCGGTTATGCCAAGAGATTTAGAAGACAGCTACCTGGCCAACTGACTGGAAAAGATCTGTATTTGTACCCATTCCAAAGAAAAGTGATCCCACAGAATGTGGAAATTATCAAACAGTATCATTAATATCACATGCAAGTAAAATCTTAATGAAGATAATTCAAAAACAGTTGCAGCAGTAAATTGATGGAGAACTTCTAGAAAGGCAAGCTGGATTCAGAAGGGGACATGGAATGAGGGATATCATTGCTGATGTCAGATGGATCTTGGCTCAAAGCAAAGAATACCAGAAAGATGTTTACTTGTGTTTTATTGACTGTGGAAAAGCATTTAACTGCATGGATCATAACAAATTGTGGATAACATTGAGAAGAATGCGAATTCCAGAACACTTAATTGTGCTCATGAGGATCCTGTACATAGATCAGAAGGCTGTCATTCAAACAGAACCAGGGGGCACTGCATGGTTTAAAATGAGGAAGGGGGTGCATCAGGGTTGTATCATTTCATCATACTTATTCAATTTGTATGCTGAGCAAATAATTTGAGAACATGGGTTATATGAAGAAGAACGTAGCATTGGAGGAAGAATCATTAACAACCTGTGATACGCAGATGACACAACTTTGCTTGCTGAAAGTGAAGATGACTTGGAGTGCTTAGTGGTGAAGATTAAAGACTATAGTCTGCAGTATGGATTACACCTCAATATAAAGAAAATAAAAAATCCTTGCAACTGGTCCAATAAACAGCTTCACGATGCACAGAGAAAAGATTGAAGTTGTCAAGGATTTCATATTACTTGGTTCTACAATCAACACCAATGGAAGCAGCAGTCAAGACATCAGATGACGTATTGCATTGGGCAAATCTACTGTGAAAGTACTCTTTCAAGTGATGAAGAGTAAAAATGTCTCCTTGAAGACTAAGGTGCACCTAACCCAAGCCATGGTATTTTCAATCATCTTTTATGTAGGTGAGTGCTGGACAATGAATAGGAAGACTGAAGAAGAGCTGATGTTTTTGAGTTATGGTGTTGGAGAAGAATGCTAAGAGTACCATGGATTGCTAAAAGGACTAACAGATCTGTCCTGGAAGATGTGCAGCCAGAATGCTCCTTGGAAGTGAGAACAGCCACACTTTGTCTCACCCACTTTGGTTATGTTGTGGGAGGAACCATTCCTTGGAGAAGGATATCATGTTTTGTAAAGTGGAGGGTAAATGAAGAAGGGGAAGGCCCGCAGTGAGACGGACTGACACAGTGGTTGCAACGATGGGCTCAGGTATAGCACGGATCGTGAGGCTGGCACAGGACCAGGCAGGGTTTCATTCTGCTGTGCATAGGGTCACTGTGAGTTGGAGACAACTCGATGGCACCTAACAACAACATCATCTTAACTTCTAAATGTTGGATTGTCCCAGATTTAGTCCTCTGAACTCCTCTCTATTTTTATTCATTTCCCAAGTATTCTCATACAGTTTTGTTAAATTTATATTTCAAGTCTTACCT